CATTTATGGTTTGATTTCTTTGTATGTATGGATCACTTGGGTTGTTACCGACATCTGGTGAAAATTTCATGTCATTAGCACCTCTAGTAATACATGTACTGAAGAAATGGTGACGTGTTCAATACTTATTTTACCCGCTGTGTGTTAAAAGCTTATTTAACTTTTATAATAAAAAACTGTTTTGTTAATAAACAAAAGTTCACTCATTAATTATGTCTCACATCATTTTAAATCTTCACATGTTTGAAATGTGCTGACAGGAAACCTTTTTTTTCATGCAGATCAAAGTTCAGCTGTCCGTGCTGCACATATCAGCTAAAAACAAAATTTGTTGATGAATTCTCAGCTTTTAGAAACACTGTTTTATTTGAATTATTTAAGACATTCATTTAATTGTAAATTTCATGGATTAATTTGGTGTTTTACTCAGGAATGAATTTCATTTCCTTCCACATAAAGAAAATGCTCATTTCAGGTTGTTTGTACGTCAGTAAACTGCTCAGTGCAGCATAAAGCGGAAAACCGAACCAAGTCAGACAGCAGCTTTCTAAAATAAAGATCCATCACTGCCACACACACAGTTGCACACCTCAGTGTGTGTGTGACAGAGATGAAGCGTAGACGTGCGCCATTTAATGGCTGCGCAGAGAAGAGGATACGCTGTTGAAGCTGAGGCAATAAAAGCCTGACGACGGAAGAAAACGCTGCCATGTTTTGTCTTCTGTCAGATAAGAATTATGTGGAGAATATAAATACTATTTTCTCTTCCTCACAACTCAGAGTAACAATCAGGATCAATTTAAACATCAGTGAATAAAAAGACAGCTGTTTTTAGATATTTAGTTGCAATAAAAGGGGAGTTTAGTTCAACCGGACGGTTTCACCATTAAAAAAAATCCTCCTAATAGTGTTTGAGGCCTTTTTTGTCTCAGGGTGGATTTTAGTCGAATATGCTTTTTGTTAGGAAGCAGCTGCTGCTTTGGCTCCAAGCATGTTCTCACTTTCACCTCGTCGCTTTGTGCTGTTAACTTCTTCCTTGCAGCCAGATAAAGAGGCCATATTTTTCCTCTCGAGCCACTGATATGCAGCTTTTTCACGCCTCATAAAGGACGGCGGCCTCTGCTGCAGAGCCAAACAGTGTCAGGATTTCTCCACATCTCGTTGCATTCGGTCGCTTCACTTTGTTGTGTAAAACACATTTCTAAAGTTCATTTTTATWTCTGTTTTCCCCCACTTCTATGCCTTTATGTCTCCCTTGTCAATCCCTCCACTCCAACAGTGCTGTGAGAGTGTGTCATGCACCGGCAGCCGGCTGTAGCTGCTCCATATGCTGCAGGTTTAGGAGCAGATAGCTGCAGACTCTTGGCTGAGCTGAATGGGAAATAAATAGTCTTGTTTAGAGCTGAAACGCAGACAGAAATCAATCACACACACTCATTGGAATGGCACAGCTGCAGGGGGAGATGAGGTGTGAAACTGTGTGTGTGTGTGTGTGTGTGTGTGTGTGTGTGTGTGTGTGTGTG